TAGAGAAAATACTCTAAAGAACTCTTCTTTAGAAAAGAATCTAGAGAAGACACTCTTCTATAGACAAATTTGTAGAGAAAACACTTATATATGTAAGTGTTTAGAAAATACTATATTCTATATAAAAGTATGTATCTAGAGAAGTAAATCTTCTATAGAAAAGTGCCTAGATAAGACGCTCTTGTATAGAAAAGTGTTTAGAGAAGACTCTTCTCTAGAGATATGTCTAGAGAGAATACTCTTCTATAAAAAGTGACCAGGAAAGAGGTAGAATTAACTCTTCTGTGGGAAAGTGTCTAAAGAAAAAAAATTCTATAGAAAAGAATATATTCTTCTATAGACAAGGTAGATATCCTTTTCAAAGACAAGTGCTTAGAAAATACTCTATTTTAGTCAAGTACTTAAGTAATTTATGTTATGAATTCTTCCATTATTGACCCTGTAAATGTCATTTAAGAATCAAATTTCTTCTTTTAACTTTGACCATAATTTAACCCATAATCTAAAGTCATTGACTCGTAACAAAATGGCCTTAACTACTAAAAACACGAAATCAATCATTTGACAACATTATCATTTATTTTATCCTTTAGGTCATTAACTTTTTATGTTGTTATTTATATAAAGAGTTTATGGTAAGGTTTTTTTTTGTCCCCCAGACTCTCATACCCAACTCTTAAGAAATTATTGATTTTAGACAAGAAATATACAACTTTACTTTACATATAATAAATATTTTATAACAGATACTTAACCCTGACCTTGTCTATCAATTTTTCAAAAACTCCCTCCTTAAACTACAAAAACAAAAAAGAAAACATCTATAAATGACGTATTTTTGTTATTTTTACTAACCAAAGGCCTAAAGCCAACAATAAACGGTCATTGTTAAAGATTTTTTTTTAAAAATATTAAATTGCATGAATTTGTATATTTTTTTGTTTAAACCACTTGAAATTGTCATAATATTTTTTTTTATTTATTTAAATAATGAGTTTATACTTGAATTATTTGTATTTATTTATATAATTTTCCTCCTTTGGTTTCAGTTACAAAAAAAAACTGACTCATTTAAAAAATGTCTATGGTTTTTACTCTGGGGCTTGTAGTTTATAATTAAAGGCTTGACATAAAATTATTTTAAATAATTTGTTTAATCATTTAGACAAGTACTACATGTGTTTTTTTTTATTTAGTTTTAATTCTCATTGAAAATTTTCTTAATTTTTTGTTCAAAATTAATCATGACGGCTTATCTTTATTATAGAAAAAAAAAAAAAATACAATTTTTCTTTATTTGGTTGTAGAGGAAATTCATTAATTTAATTTCTACTAATTAGGCGGTGCTGTTGATGATTGAGAGTAGTAGCATGACATTCAAACATTTTAGTATTGAAAATGAAATTGATTAAGTGTTTTTTTTTGTAGAGAAATGCAATAGTAATTCTATCTCTGTGTTTTTTTTTTTTCAATAATCATTTATTTATGTCTATATTTGTCTTCTATTAAGAGATTATGGAAAAGTGTGCTTTCTGATTCCCTTGGAGATTAGACAAAAATGGAAATTCTAGTTTTGAATAAAACTGGTTTAAACCATAATAGAATTGATTAAATTGTTATTGAACTTTTAAGGAAGAAATTTGTAAAAAGTTAAAAAACAAAACTTTCTCAGATAAATTTTGAAATATTAGAGAATTTTTGATTTAAAAAGAGTTTTTTTAGACTCTTGTTTAAAGGAAACGAACTTCTCTAGACACTGTCTATAGAAAATGTATTCTCAAGACTTGTTTCTATAGAGGAGGAACTTCTCTACACTCTTCAATAGAAGACTGTCTCTTGAAGAGAATTTTATCTAGAAGAGTGCTTTCTCTTGACAACTTTCTACAGAAGAGTTTTATCTAGTTACTTTTCTATAGAACAATGTCTTCTCTACCCACTTTTCTATAAAACAATGTATTGTTTAATGAAAAGAACTTCCCTAGACATTGTCTCAAGAAAATATATTTTTAAGACTTTTTTCTATAGAAGATGAACTTTTCCAAATCCTTCAATAGAAGACTATCTTCTATGGATACTTTTCTACAGAAGAATGATTTTTCTAGGCAATTTTCTATAGACTTCATTCTATAATGAGCATAAAATAGACTTTAGACTAGACTATAGAATGGACTGTAGACTAGACTATAGACTAGACTATAGACTAGACTACAGACTAGACTAGACTAGACTACAGACTAGACTATACTAGACTAGACTAGACTAGACTAGACTAGACTAGACTAGACTATAGACTAGACTATAGACTAGACTATAGACTAGACTATAGACTAGACTATAGACTAGACTATAGACTAGACTATAGACTAGACTATAGACTAGACTATAGACTAGACTATAGACTAGACTAGACTAGACTATAGACTAGACTATAGACTAGACTATAGACTAGACTATAGACTAGACTAGACTATAGACTAGACTATAGACTAGACTATAGACTAGACTATAGACTAGACTAGACTAGACTAGACTATAGACTAGACTATAGACTAGACTATAGACTAGACTATAGACTAGACTATAGACTAGACTATACTAGACTAGACTATAGACTAGACTATAGACTAGACTATAGACTAGACTATAGACTAGACTATAGACTAGACTATAGACTAGACTATAGACTAGACTATAGACTAGACTATAGACTAGACTATAGACTAGACTATAGACTAGACTATAGACTAGACTATAGACTAGACTATAGACTAGACTATAGACTAGACTATAGACTAGACTATAGACTAGACTATAGACTAGACTATAGACTAGACTATAGACTAGACTATAGACTAGACTATAGACTAGACTATAGACTAGACTATAGACTAGACTATAGACTAGACTATAGACTAGACTATAGACTAGACTATAGACTAGACTATAGACTAGACTATAGACTAGACTATAGACTAGACTATAGACTAGACTATAGACTAGACTATAGACTAGACTATAGACTAGACTATAGACTAGACTATAGACTAGACTATAGACTAGACTATAGACTAGACTATAGACTAGACTATAGACTAGACTATAGACTAGACTATAGACTAGACTATAGACTAGACTATAGACTAGACTATAGACTAGATATAGACTAGACTATAGACTAGACTATAGACTAGACTATAGACTAGACTATAGACTAGACTATAGACTAGACTATAGACTAGACTATAGACTAGACTATAGACTACTATAGACTAGACTATAGACTAGACTATAGACTAGACTATAGACTAGACTATAGACTAGACTATAGACTAGACTATAGACTAGACTATAGACTAGACTATAGACTAGACTATAGACTAGACTATAGACTAGACTATAGACTAGACTATAGACTAGACTATAGACTAGACTATAGACTAGACTATAGACTAGACTATAGACTAGACTATAGACTAGACTATAGACTAGACTATAGACTAGACTATAGACTAGACTATAGACTAGACTATAGACTATACTATAGACTAGACTATAGACTAGACTATAGACTAGACTATAGACTAGACTATAGACTAGACTATAGACTAGACTATAGACTAGACTATAGACTAGACTATAGACTAGACTATAGACTATAGACTATAGACTAGACTATAGACTAGACTATAGACTAGACTATAGACTAGACTATAGACTAGACTATAGACTAGACTATAGACTAGACTATAGACTAGACTATAGACTAGACTATGACTAGACTATAGACTAGACTATAGACTAGACTATAGACTAGACTATAGACTAGACTATAGACTAGACTATAGACTAGACTATAGACTAGACTATAGACTAGACTATAGACTAGACTATAGACTAGACTATAGCCTAGACTATAGACTAGACTATAGACTAGACTATAGACTAGACTATAGACTAGACTATAGACTAGACTATAGACTAGACTATAGACTAGACTATAGACTAGACTATAGACTAGACTATAGACTAGACTATAGACTAGACTATAGACTAGACTATAGACTAGACTATAGACTAGACTATAGACTAGACTATAGACTAGACTATAGACTAGACTATAGACTAGACTATAGACTAGACTATAGACTAGACTATAGACTAGACTATAGACTAGACCATAGACTAGACTATAGACTAGACTATAGTCTAATCTATAGTCTAGTCTATAGTCTTATTTTGAAGCATGATTTTTCTAGACACTTTCATGTAGAAGACTGTCTTCTTTAGAATCTTCCAATGACAGAGCCTCTTCTCTATACCATCTCCAATAGAAGAAATCCTACTCTGGAGGTAGAAGAATTTGTTCTCTGGAAGCAAAGTGTCATCTCTAAAAGAAGAGTATCTTCTCTAGCTTATTTTCTAAAGTATCTTCTTTTGACACTTGTGTAAAGAAAAGTCTATTTCCTAGATATTTCTTTTGAGTCTTTCCTATAGAAAATGCCTTTTGAGAGACTTTGCTATGGAAGTTAGTAATCTTTATACTATTTTCTATTGACTATAGAATGCTGTGTTTCTTTATTTTTTATACAAAATATTTCTGACTAAAATTTTTTTTATTATTTAATTACACATGTTTTTTTATCGGTTTTAAAACAAACTTTTATTATATAAAATTTTTTATATAAAAGAATTTATTTTTTATATAAAAATTATTAAAAAAAACGTTGAACTTTTAATTTGTTTAAAATAAACAAGGAAAATAATATAAATATTTTTAAACTCTATTATTGTTGTTGAGATAAAGTTACATTTTTCATAAGTTAAAAAAAACATACAATATGTTTATTTATTTTTTCAAAAAATGTTTAAAGAATTATTAAAAAAAATTTCACACACCTGTTTTTTTGCAAACAAATATTTAAAATTCTCATGAGTCATTATAATAAAAACAAAAAAAAACATACATAAATTGAAATATATATAAAAATAAATAATTGCAGAATTTCTCTAATAACTCGTATACGTGTTCAAATAATAAAACCCAAAAGATAGCTGTTAAAGTCTTAAAGTCACCACAAAATCCCACATATCAAACAACTCAGGAATTTAATAACTATGCAACGGATCAGCAAAATGACTACTATCAACAGTATCATCAGCAGGACCATTTATATCAACAGCAGAAAGCTTTAATGCCACCTCTGGATCATGCCACTCATATTTTAGCTCATCAGCATCATTGTAAACATCATCATAAGCATCATAATAATCAGCATCATCATCATCATCATCACCATCATCAACAGCAGCAGCAGTCGCAGCATAAAACTAGCCAACAGTCACCACAACAATTCCAACATCATTTGCAACAGCAACAACAGGATTTAGTAAAATCCCTACAGAATGAATTACAATTTCAATATTTTGAGAAAAAACCACCTACACCACAGAAAACCTCTTGCCACTCGAACCCACAAACGCCTAAACATGGCGGTGGCAAAAAATTGTCAGAATCGAAAACACCCACCTCTACTTTAACGAAACCTAAGAAATGGCGAAGACCTTTTAGTTCGTATCATTCCTGTGATGATTTAGATGCCTCGAATAATGCCACCAATTTAAATAAATCCCAGCAGCAACAACAATCCAATGAGAAAATGGTGGTGGCCAGTTTGAAATATTTATGTGCCTGCACTGGAGCCACTTTGAGGAATTTATCAAAGAAAACCAAAGATTTACATAAGAATAATTGTTATACGTATAATAAGGTAAAGTTTGGAGGGAGTAAGAGAGAAAACTAATTCGCTCGCGATTTAATCATAAGCTTTCGCGATTTAATCACAAACTTAATCATTTTAAAGTTTTTCTTTTGTATCAATTGAAATATCACTTGCTTTACGTTTCATTATATCAACATGAAACTGTTGCCTCATTTCCTTTGTAATTCCAAATGTTTCTTTTACATTTTCTTTCACAAAAAACTTAATACATGCCGGCGCCCTTAGAATTATTAAATTTTTGTTCGAAAGTATCTAAAGAATACATTTTATTTAACATTTTCTATGGCTACAATTGTATCTTTGAGTATGTAATTTTATTTATGCCTATTATTTTTTAATTATTTTTATTTTCGCTTGAAATCAAAGTACATACATTTTTTAAATTGTTGTTAGTGTTGGCATGCTAATGTTTTAAAATAAACATTAAGAAACTAAAAAAGAATTTCAATGTAATGAAAATATTTGGCAAAAAAAAAACTATCTAGAGACAAAAATCAATGAACCACAAAAAAAAAAGAAATAAAAAAAATTTAAATAGATTTTGTTTACAATTTTTTAACAATTTAAAAAAAAACGTAATAAAGTGTATAAAAAAATGGAATAAGAATAGTCTATAGTCCAAACTAAAGACCACTATATACTATGGACTAGAATATGAACTAGAATATATACTAGATTATGCTCCAGACTATATACTAGAGTATAGACCAGATTATACAGATCATAGACTACACTCTAGACAAGATTACAGGATAGACTATAGTCTGGACCAGACTACAGTCCAGACTATAGACTAAACTATAGTCCTAACTAGAGACTAGACTATAGTCCAGACTATAGACTAAACTATAGTCCTGACTAGAGACTAGACTATAGTCCTGACTAGTTCAGACTATAATCCAGACTATAGACTAGACTATAGTTCAGACTATAATCCAGACTATAGACTAGACTATAGTCCAGACTATAATGCAGACTATTGACTAGAGTATAGTCCAAACTATAATCCAGACTATAGACTAGACTATAATCCAGACTATAGACTAAACTATAGTTCAGACTATAGACTATACTATAGTCCAGACTATAGACAATAAATACTATATATACATTGATCATAGACTAGACTATAGACTAAACCATAGTCCATACTATAGACTAGACCATAGTGCAGACTATGGTCGGTAATATTTGGCAAGCCGCGCCGCCGCCGATTTCTTTCGGCTCAAAAGCTAAGCCGGCTTAAACGTAGCCGCTGATAAATATTGGAATCGCACATGTATTTCAGAAAATAATTTCACCAATTTGAATAGAGTTGCCACTAATTTAAATTCTTATTGCAAATTGAAAAAAGTTGCCACACAATATTGTGCTAATATTAAAAGAGTGAAAACTACTATAAATGTACATTTTCTTCAGAAAAAACCTTATATAGAGATAGGATTCTATATAACAGACTATTATACAGAGATTGTTCAATATTATAAGCGCTTATAGGCTCAATTTCTGAAGAAAAACTTAAATTGAGCCGACAATTTAGCCGCCGCGCCGACCTAAAATGGTTGCGCCGCCGCCGCCGATCATTTTGCATCGGCTTGTATCTCTGGTCCAGACTATAGACTAGACCATAGTCCAGACTATAAACTACAATATAGTCCAGACTATAAACTAGACTATAATTCAGAGTATAAACTAGACTATAGTTCAGACTATAGACTAGACTGCAGTCCAGACTATAGACTAGACTATAGTCAAGATTATAAACTAGTCTATAGTCTGGACCGTAGTCAAGACTATAGACTATACTATAGACTAGACTATAGTCAGGAATATAGACTGGACCATAGTCCAGACTATAGACTACACCGTAGTCCAGACTATAGACTAGACTACAGTCCAGACTATAGACTAGACTGTAGTCCAGACCATAGATTTTACTATAGTCCAGATTATAGACTATACTATTGTCCAGACTGTAGACTATACTATAGTCCAGACTATAGACTATACTATAGTCCAGACTATAGACTATACCATAATCCAGACTATAAACTACACTATAGTCCAGACTATAAAATAGACTATAAGTCATACTATAAACTAGACTAAAATTCAGACTATAAACTAGACATAGTCCAGACTACAGACTAGACTGTAGTTTAGACTATAAACTAGACTAAAGTCTAGACTATAGACTAGACTGTAGTCCAGACTATAGACTTTACTATAGTCCAGTCATTAGTCTTCACTATAGTCCAGACTATAAACTAGACTAAAATTCAGACTATAAACTAGAGTATAGTCCAGGCTAGAGTCCTTATTATAGACTAGACTGTTGTCCACACTCTGTTCTATATAGTTTAGTCTAAATAGACTTTAATTTGCACTTTAGTCTTGATTATAAACTAGACTATAGTCTGGACTATAGACTAGACTATAGTCTGGACCATAGGCTAGACTATAATCTGGACTATAGACTAGACTATAGCCTGGACTATAGACTAGACTATAGCCTGGACTATAGACTAGACTATAGCCTGGACTATAGGCTAGACTATAGCCTGGACTATAGACTATAGTCTGGACTATAGTTTGGATAATATACTATATTCTGGACTAGAGTATAGACTATAATCTGCACTTTAGTCTGGACTATAGTCTATTCAATGGTTTGGACTATGATCTAGTGTATAGTTTGGACTATAGTCTGGGATTTAGTCCATAATACAGACTATAGTCTAGTATATACTACGGAATATTTTCCAGTCTATAGTCTGGACAATATTTTTGCATTTATTTAATGCCAATTTGATTTCAATTTTTTAATAATTTCTATTTCTAAGCATCTGCTGTTTGAAATAAAATCTAAGAAAATAAAAGTCCAAGAAAAAAACTGTTGGTGGCCACAAGTGGCCACTAAATGTAAGCACACTTATACCAACAAGTTTATAGTATTTGTAAATATGTTGATTTTGGCCAGCCAGTCCATAATTAGCAGCAGCCATAGGAGTTCAATTTTATGACCTTTTAGACTAAACAAACAAAACATGAGTGTGTGGTTTGTACAAGTGGCGGGGATGGCTTGTAGACATGAAATGAAAAGTAAATTCCAAATAAAAATAAATAATTCCAAGAATTTTTAAAAGAAACTAATTAAATAATATTTAAGCAAAAAAATAAAATTAACATGAATAACAAAAAAAAGTATTAAATATTTAAGCCAATTTATTTGTTATAATAAAACACATAAACGCCAACATTTAAATATAATTAATTAAATTTATATTATTTATTTTTACACACATTCAACAGCCCACGTGGCGTATATGGGGTGAGGAAAAGGATACCGATATTATTTATACGGTTTATTTGAAAAAGGTGTGCTATCACCGGCCCACACCCTCAGCAACAACTGTGAGTAAACGAAAATATATATTGAAATTATTTTAAAGAGATTGATAATAAAATTCTTGTTTCTTTAGGCCGACTCCGAAGATGACATTTCCTATTTGGAATGGGAAATGGTGCGTGTGCGTTTTGTCAAAGCCGCCACATTGGAACGACTAGTCGAGGCTTTGGCCACCGATGATGGCGAACTAGAATCCACCTTCATCAATGTTTTTCTCAATACCTATCGCACCTTTTCCACACCCAAAGAGGTTCTAGGGCTGTTTGTCAAACGCTATAATACTTTGTGCGAAAAGCAACGTATTGAGGATTTGAAAAATAAAGACAATGTCGATTACGATCGTTCCAATTCCATACATGAACAACACAAGAAAACCCTGATGTCCGTGTGGAAAATGTGGTTAAATGGTTTTCCTGAAGATTGGAATGAAGAGAATCTAGAGGCTTTAATAAATTTCACCAGCAAATATCTGCCCAACTCCGATCTACATTCGAGGGCCTTAAATCAATTGGAAATGATTTTACGCCAACAGGTGTATAGTAAAAAACAACATTTGCCCAGCTGGTTGAATGATCAGTTTGCTGATCTATACTTGGCTCCTGAGTTTCATGGGAGAGCTTGTTTTTTGGAAACTTATCGTTTTCCTCGCATTGATGTGCGTCACTTTGCCGAGCAATTGACGCGCATGGATTGTGAACTATTTAAGAAAGTGATATCGCATCAGTGTCTGGGCGCCACTTGGTCGAGGCGATCACAGGGTTGCTGTGAAACGGTGGTGGCCACTGTGACACAATTTAATGAAGTTTTGTATAGAGTGATAACGAGTATTTTAATTGAGAGAGCTTTGGAACCACAAGTAAGTTGTTGATTTTATAAATTTGCCAAAATTTTCTTTTGATAAAAATTATGAGAAAACTTGTTCTCGTTCAGTTCTAGTTCAGTTCTAGTTCAGTTCTAGTTCAGTTCTAGTTCAGTTCTAGTTCAGTTCTAGTTCAGTTCTAGTTCAGTTCTAGTTCAGTTCTAGTTCAGTTCTAGTTCAGTTCTAGTTCAGTTCTAGTTCAGTTCTAGTTCAGTTCTAGTTCAGTTCCAGTTCAGTTCCAGTTCAGTTCTAGTTCAGTTCTAGTTCAGTTCTAGTTCAGTTCTAGTTCAGTTCTAGTTCAGTTCTAGTTCAGTTCTAGTTCAGTTCTAGTTCAGTTCTAGTTCAGTTCTAGTTCAGTTCTAGTTCAGTTCTAGTTCAGTTCTAGTTCAGTTCTAGTTCAGTTCTAGTTGAGTTCTAGTTGAGTTCTAGTTCAGTTGTAGTTCAGTTCTAGTTCAGTTCTAGTTCAGTTGTAGTTCAGTTGTAGTTCAGTTGTAGTTCAGTTGTAGTTCAGTTGTAGTTCAGTTCTAGTTCAGTTGTAGTTCAGTTGTAGTTCAGTTCTAGTTCAGTTCTAGTTCAGTTCTAGTTCAGTTCTAGTTCAGTTCTAGTTCAGTTCTAGTTCAGTTCTAGTTCAGTTCTAGTTCAGTTCTAGTTCAGTTCTAGTTCAGTTCTAGTTCAGTTCTAGTTCAGTTCTAGTTCAGTTCTAGTTCAGTTCTAGTTCAGTTCTAGTTCAGTTCTAGTTCAGTTCTAGTTCAGTTCTAGTTCAGTTCTAGTTCAGTTCTAGTTCAGTTCTAGTTCAGTTCTAGTTCAGTTCTAGTTCAGTTCTAGTTCAGTTCTAGTTCAGTTCTAGTTCAATTTTAGTTCAGTTCTAGTTCAGTTCTAGTTCAGTTCTAGTTCAGTTCTAATTCAGTTCTAGTTCAGTTCTAGTTCAGTTCTAGTTCAGTTCTAGTTCAGTTCTAGTTCAGTTCTAGTTCAGTTCTAGTTCAGTTCTAGTTCAGTTCTAGTTCAGTTCTAGTTCTAGTTCAGTTCTAGTTTAGTTCTAGTTCAGTTCTAGTTCAGTTCTAGTTCAGTTCTAGTTCAGTTCTAGTTCAGTTCTAGTTCAGTTCTAGTTCAGTTCTAGTTCAGTTCTAGTTCAGTTCTAGTTCTAGTTCTAGTTCAGTTCTAGTTCTAGTTCTAGTTCAGTTCTAGTTCAGTTCTAGTTCAGTTCTAGTTCAGTTCTAGTTCAGTTCTAGTTCAGTTCTAGTTCAGTTCTAGTTCAGTTCTAGTTCAGTTCTAGTTCAGTTCTAGTTCAGTTCTAGTTCAGTTCTAGTTCAGTTCTAGTTCAGTTCTAGTTCAGTTCTAGTTTAGCTCCAGTTTAGTTTTTTTAAAGTAAAATTTCTTATTTATTTCGTTTCCAGGATCGTGCTGTATATATTTGTGTTTGGATTGATATAGCTCAAGAATTGAGATTACTGAAAAATTTCTCCTCCCTTAAGGCCATTATAACGGGTCTAAATTCTTCAGCTATTTATAGACTAAGCAAAATCTGGTCGGTTTTACCGAAAGAAAAGGTTGGTTCTACTTTAATTTTAAATCTTAAAAAAAACTTAAACTAATTCTGTTCCCCAACAGCTGGAAATCTTTCATGAACTGGCACGCATTTGTTCGGAGGACAATAATGCTTCAGTACAAAGAGAACTGCTGATAAGAGAGGGCACTGCGAAATTTGCCGAAACAGTGGGCGAAAATGATCGTCATATGCAAAAGATTATACAGAAACAGGTGGGTTATTTTGTTCATTGTCAGGAAATAAAGCACAATTTTTTATGTAATTTTTTCTTTATAACAGAGTACCCAAACCTCCCATGGTACTATACCCTATTTGGGTACCTTCCTAACCGATTTAACCATGATACACCAAGCTAACCCTGATACTGTGGGCGATGATAAATTGATAAATTTCGAAAAGAAACGCAAAGAATTTGAGGTTTTGGCCAAGATTAAACTTTTACAGGGAGCAGCTAATACCTATAATTTAGATGAGGATCCTTTATTTAATAGATGGTTTTACTCCATGCCTGTATTAACCGAAGAAGAAGCTCATACGTTATCCTACCAACTAGAACCGCCGCCACCCACGGCTCCGCGTAAAAGTACCACCTCCTCTAATATGTCATCGGCTAATTCCTCTATATTGGGTCATCGGAAAACCGATTCTATAGCCTCGAATTCTAGCAGTGGGGCAGGCTCACAATTCTATTGTGAAATTAGTTCTCATAACAGCTCAAGGCACAATTCTTTGGATCGAGAAGCCCAACATAATCACATGTCAGCTACCAGCAGTGTATCGAATTTATCACTGGACTCTAGTAACTCGGGAGGGGGCATAAACAAATCGAAAATGATACATTCTCATTCCACGAATGGTTTATTGCGCAGTCAACATGGTTCCAGCACCAGTGGTTCACATACACCCACCCATATAGGTTCGCCCCTGATTAATGCTCAAGTTGTTAATTCCCCTGGGGCCAATGCCGATTTCTATATAGTCAAAATCACCCTGGAAACGGAAACAATGCCCCAGGATGGCATTGTTGTCTATAAGAGTATGATGGTTAAGAATAATGAACGCACACCACAAGTGATACGTAATGCTCTAATGAAACTGGGCATAGAAGATGATCCCGACAATTATATTTTGGCTCAAAGGCTGCCCGATAAGGACGTGGATTTGCCGCGCAATGCCAATGTCTTTTATGCGGTGGTGGTGAATAAGAATTTCGAATTGCGTTTCATATTGAAACCCAATGCGGAACGTTTGAATGGCGTTATCAACAATGGCAGTGGTAGTCGCAGTAGTCGTGGCAGCAATAGCTAATGGTTAACCAAGACCCTGTAAATGAAAAAAGGGTCATTCACTGATTGGGAAATTCTATATTTTGTGAAATTGTTAAGAAGTTAAGTTTTTAACAAACGCAGCGCGTACAAAAAACAAACAAACGAGGGGTGCTTCTGAAGTAACAGAAATGATATGAAATGGAAATAAAATTTGGAACACTTTTAACACACACAGGATAATAACTTTCAAATAAATTAGGAACATTTTGAAAGTTTTGTAAACAAATTTATTTAAAAAAGAAATTAACGAATCTTTTAGTTAAGTAGTTAAGCTGAAAGGAAAGGGCAGCAATTAAGCAAAAAATTGAGCTTGAAATTTGTTTAATTTTCTGTTGCAAAATTTTCTTTAAAGCTTTGTTTTTTTAATATAATTTTTGTATATAACTAATTTATGAAATAAAATTAAAACAAACTCGAAATTAATTTAATATTTTTTAAAAAATAAAAACATGACAAAAAACTTTCAATAAATTAAAATAATTTTGTATAATTTTTTTTTTATAATTCTTTAAAAATAATAATAATTTTTTTTAAACTAATTTATTGTAAAATATAAAAATAAACAATAAAATAATCAAGATATTAAAAAAAAAACACGAAATTAAATAATAACGACTAGCTAACTAAAAAAAAAAAAAAAACAATAAAATAAACTTTGATATTAAATATTTATTAATATTTTGAAAGAATTTATAAAACAAAAACAAATTTTGGAAAACCTATTAACAGTTTTGTATGAAATCTTATATAAAAATAACTGCAACTTTTTGGATTTTTATATATATTTTTTAAAAACAAAACCATCCCCTCCCCCCTAATATTTTCTACTGTATTTTTGTCAGTGTAAGATATGGAAACAAAAAATAAAATAAAAAAATAAAAAACCAATAACAACATGCTTTAAATGTTACTTTAAAAAATTTATATTATATAAATAAGAAATGTATTATATATGAATTAATTGAATTATTAATATTATTAATTAAATATATAATAAAAAATATAATCTAAAAATATATATATATAAATAAAAATAATATTTAATAATTTATAATAAATTTTGAAAGAAACATTAATGTATTATATTGAAAAAAAAAAAGATAATTATTAATTAAACAAACAAATAAATATAATTTATTGGACACAATTAAAAAAATAAAACCCATTATTGTTTAATTATTATTTTGGAAAAAAAGGAAGGCACCTAGGTCGCTAAACACAATTTTATTATTTAATTATTTCAAATTATTTAAAAAAAGTTTAATATTAATATTTAAATACAAATTTTAAAAAATTAACGCCTAAAACTTACAATACCCTGATCAACTTAGTACGTTTCACCACCTTTTAATCAAATATAACAACTCTGTCATTGTTTTATACACAGGGCTTCTCAAACACTTGAATCAGTTTGAAAGTCACTGGTACACTATAAACAAAAGCAAACACTTCCTGACCGCATATATTAATCAAACCAAAATGTTTTTTTAGCAAAACAAGATTGGACTCTAAAAACGTTTCTATAGAAAGAAGCCTTAAGAGACACTTTTCCATACAAACAAGTCTTAAGAGAACAAATTCTACAGAATAGAGTTTAAAGAATGTATTTCTCAATAGACTAGATTGTAGAGGGCATTATAAACTAGATTATACACTATACTATAGACAAGACTATAGACTAGACCACAGACTAGACTATAGACTAGACTACAGACTAGACTGCAGACTATAATATAGGCTAGACTACAGTCAAGACTATAGACTAGAATATATGTAGCCAAGACTATAGACTGTAGACTATTCTGGTCTATTTACTAGACTTTAGACTATTCTGGTCTATAGACTACACTATAGACTATTATAGTCTATAGACTATACTATAGACTATTCTAGTCTGTAGACTAGTATATGGACTACACTGTAGAGTACTCCATAGACTACACTACAGACTAGTATGGACTACACTGTAGAGTACTTTATAGACTACACTACAGACTAGTATATGGACTACACTATAGACTATAATGTAGACTACACTATAGACTATACTGTAGACTAAATTATAGACTAAACTATAGAGCACATTTATGTATTTCATAACAAACCGCTGTTATTTCATATTTATTTTATACTTTAATTCTTAAATTTTCCTTTTTCACTATTTTTATTATTAATTTATAAGAATTTCACTTAAATTTCTATTAATTTGAGATTTGATTGCCAACTTTATTCACTTACCACTGGGTTTAAAACTTGCTTTACATCACAGTTTGAAAATCATACAAAAGCTACTCTTTTGTTTACCTTTTTTCTTGTTGCACATCTCATCACCTTTTTCTTAATCTTCTGCCTAGCTTTTTTTATTTTGCCAATTTTCGGTATTAAATCATAAATTTCCAATAATATTTCATATACATGTTATTTCTTAAGTATTTAATTTAACTTTTTCACTATTTTTATTATTTATTCGTTAAATTTCACTTTAATTTTAATAAATTCTGGAGACACGAAGTGTTTGGCGACTTTATTCGCGTACCGGTGGCTTTAAAACTAATTTTGCAAGTAGTTGTAGCCTTGCGAAAAATAGAGTTGCTTTTCAAACTGTAATGTAAAACTAGTTTTAAAACCAGTGGCATGCGTATGAAAATATCTCACCACGTTTCTATGCAAATTAATACAATTTAAAGTGAATTTGTAATAAATAATTGAAAAAATAGTGAAAAAAGTGAATTTAAACTATTCATGGGCACAATATATAAAAAATATCAGAGTGTTATTATGATTTAATATGAAAAATTTGCAAAATAAAATAAAACCGCAAAGAAGATGTAGAAAAGTCATGAGCACCACCAATAAAATGTAAACAAAGATGAAGCTTAGATTGACAGCAAAGCTTTGTAAACTGTAAGAAAAGCTAGTTTTAAAACAATCGGTATGGTAAAAAATGCTTGAATCGTACATAAAACTAATGTTATTATAAATTATTATTTACTAAAATAAAATTGTTATAGTTCGGACAAAAGACTAGGAAATAGACTAGGCTATAGATTAGATTATAGGGTAGACTATAGCGTGGACTACATACTAGACTAGAGAAGCCATTTTATTAAGGAAAAGAGTATTATGAAATCATTTTTCAATGGAAATTAGTCTTTAGAAGAATGTTTCTCTTCTATTGTATAAAGAGTGGAAAGAAAATCATTTTCTATGAAAAAGTCTCAAGAACACATATTTATAGATATGTATGTATGTATGTATTACTCAGGGTACATACATATGTACGTCAAAAATGCAACATTTCTGTTTTACTTACTTTTTTAATAAAAGAAAAAGAAGCAGCGGCATCTACAACAATAATATTCAACATTGTTGCATTCATTTAAAGGTAACACGCCACCAAAACCTAAATCGGGTTATCAGTGACGTCATTAAGAAAACGTTATAGAAACAGAGAAACAACAACAAAAACTACAGAAATTTTTGAGTGACGTGCATGTCGTAGCATGTCGTCATTAAATTAGCACAATAGACAAGACAAAATGCATTCATACAGAAAAGACACCCTCATACTTTCACACAACAACATAGATTCTATAGGTCAAATAACAAAAACAACTATAAAACCATGACGTAACTAGAAATGATTAAAAAATATTTAAAATATAATTACTTATTTAAATATTTTTTTCTAAATACCTTTAAATTGCTTTAGATTTTATTATTTTATTGTAATTTATTAAAATTTTATTTAAATTTTGTTTATTGCCAAATATCCTTGTTTACCAATTTTTCTCTTGTTGCCTTCATAAAACAACAATAACAAACCACCTTCACTGACAAATGTTGCCAGCTTGAAATCATTAATCATTACACCACATGTTAGCACTTTTAGCAAACATCCACACATTCTCTTTGTCTCCACGTTTCCCAAGTGTGTAGATATGTGTGTATGTAAACAAACATTTTCACTTGACATCATTCGAGTGTCACATTTTCGCTTGTGGTTGTTGTCACTAATTTTTTTTGACATATTCATAAATCATGTTTACTACTTAATTTAAGTGTATCAAAATCCGTTACCCTTTTAATTGGAAATTTTAATGTAAAAATGATAACAGTGGTGAAAAGCTAGTTTTTTGAGAAATTTTTTAAGAGTTAACAGTTCTGTTAATGTTAAATTGAGTTAGGCTTTAGAAAACACTGAGAATATTAAAACACAGTGTTAGTTTACCTTAAAGTCTAGTCTATAGTCTTAATTAATTCAAATTTGAATTAATTTTCAATGAAATGTAGTGATAGACATTTTCATACGCATACCCCTGGCCTTAAAACTAGCATTATATTACAGTTTAAAAAGCATCTACTCTTCTCTCTCCATTATGACATTTCAAACAAGGCTTTTGCAACTGTTTGCAAAACTAGTTTAAAAACCACCGGTACGTGAAAAAAGTCGACAAACATTTCGTGTCTGCGCAAATTTATTAAAATTAAAGTGAAATATTAAGGGATAAATAATAAAAATAGTGAAAAAGTGAAATTTAATACTCAACAAATAAAATGTATATGAAATATTATTGGAAATTTATGATTTAATACCGAAAATTGGCAAAATAAAAAAAGCTAGGCAGAAGATTAAGAAAAATGTGATGAGTTGTGCAATAAGAAAAAAGGTAAACAAAAGAGCAGCTTTTGTATGATTTTCAAACTGTGATGTAAAACTAGTTTTAAAACCAGTGGCAAGCGAATAAAGTTGGCAATCAAATCGCAAATTAATAGAAATTTATGTTAAATTGTAAATTAATAATAAAAGTAGTGCAAAAGGGAAATCTAAGAATTAAAGCATAAAATAAATGTGAAATAACAGGGTGTTGTTATGATTTGATATGATTTTTATGAGTGCTGTTATGATATAAACAAATGGTTTATTTTATTTTGTAGTTTAGTCTATAGTCTAGTCTATAGTCTATTCTATAGTCTATTCTTTAGTCTAGTCTATAGTCTATTCTATAGTCTAGTATATAGTCTAGTCTATAGTCTATCCTATAGTCTAGTATATAGTCTAGCCTATAGTCTATTCTATAGTCTAGTCTATAGTCTAGTCTATAGTCTAGTCTATAGTCTAGTCTATAGTCTAGTCTATAGTCTAGTCTATAGTCTAGTCTATAGTCTAGTCTATAGTCTAGTCTATAGTCTAGTCTATAGTCTAGTCTATAGTCTAGTCTATAGTCTAGTCTATAGTCTAGTCTATAGTCTAGTCTATAGTCTAGTCTATAGTCTAGTCTATAGTCTAGTCTATAGTCTAGTCTATAGTCTAGTCTATAGTCTAGTCTATAGTCTAGTCTATAGTCTAGTCTATAGTCTAGTCTATAGTCTAGTCTATAGTCTAGTCTATAGTCTAGTCTATAGTCTAGTCTATAGTCTAGTCTATAGTCTAGTCTATAGT